GGTGCTCTACCGCTTGAGCCCCACCTCCAGTCCACTGCGCCCTGGTTATTTTGGAGATAGGGTTGTTACCAGGCTGAGTGGTGTAAGAAGACACAAGTCCAGAAGATCCCAAGTTCTTGTGTCACCTAAACAGAAAACTGGACAGAGACATAAATTTGCAAAACAATAGCAAAACTTTATTGAAAGAAAAGGGAAGAAAAAGAGGGAAGCACTGCAAGAGAAAAAGCAGTGGGCTCCTGCCAGATAGTATGGAAGCATTGATCTCTTTGTTTAAGGACCAGTTTCTAAGTTACAAGGCAGGAAAAATCTGGACAATACTTATGGAGGAGTTTAGGGTAGCTGGCAGGTTTAATTAACACAGCCTTATCATACAACATGGGGTATTCAGCACAGGTTCTTACGCTAATTTCTAGGCCTTTAATTGTATGTTTGAGATGTGACCAGTATTCATAAGGTCTTAAGTAGAGGACTTTGAGAGGTCAAATTGGGGCAGCCTCCCTTTTACCAGGCAAACCTGGCTCAGGAGCCCCCTTTGGTCACTATCTTGTAAAGGTGTTTATGACTGCCAGTGTAGTTACGACTTAGAGGGGATTTATTGCTCTAGAAATGGCTCAGGGTGGTGCTGGGGCAGTAGTGGGGAAAAAGTCTAGCATGGGGTATCTGTTTGCTTAAGTGAAGAGAGTCCCATGATGGGTTATTTTCCTGTTGCTATGCCTATCTCATGAACTGTTTGCATGGGCTGACCTTGAACCTTGATCCTCCTAATCTCAGCCTCCGGAGTAGCTAGGATTATAGGCGTGAGCCACCAGCACCTAGCTAGGATTACAGGCGTGAGCCACCAGCACCCAGCTGTCACGTGTTTTAAAAGATTTATTTCACATATTATGTGTAGATTGTTTTTTGCCATTTTGGTCATAACCTGTAAAAATAACTAGAGTTTAATTTTGGGGACTATTTGAGGATTTATTATACTATAGTTTTTAGAGTTGTTACAGGGGCAATATGGAGATCCAACCAAATGCAATTCAAATGTTCTAATGATGGTACCGTATGAAATGTCATGCCCTTGTATCTGGAATTTGTAATAATATTGGAGAGTGTGACCAACTTCCTAAGCTCTTTGTTTCCGGGCACTGCAGATCCCCTCACTAGGTTCCTGGGTGATGCCCTTGCCAATTCTGGCCCTGTAAACCTGGTGGTTCAAGAAGAGGTGGTTACCATTCTGCCTGCATCTCACCACCGAAAGGAAATCTGGAAATCACCCAGAACTAGACCTTCTGTGGCTTAAGAAGGAAACGATGCTGGTGCATTTCCTTAGAGGATAGAGGCCCACAGCTGAAGGCACAGCTGAAGCTTATTCCAGCTAGTTTTCTTCACCCAGTAGCAGGTATCCTCAGACTCTATGCTATGTGCTGAGCAAGGCAGGCCTTAGCCCTCTTCCCATGCACCTGGCAGTCTGGTCTTCTGCACCCACATGTGTGACCTCTTGTGTTTGTGAAGGAAATCATGTTCGATTCCCTTTCTTTCCTGGGGAGGTCAGTTAATACTCCTATAAAGAGATGTTGGAAGCTTGGGGGACCCATGTTTTTGAGATTAGGAGCAATTATGTCTTAAGTCTTCAATGCTCTGCTTTCTCCTTTTTGTTCCCTTGTTTTGATAGCAATGATTAATTACCAAAGTAATTCATTCTTATTTTAGGAGAAAAGTGGGGCTGGGGCCAGTTTGCTGAGAGTGACTCCAGACCATTGTTTCCCCCACCAGATGAACCAGGAAAATTCTGGGCTGTTTTCCAAGAAGAATGAAGTAACTTCAAGTTCAAGGGTCTGAGATTTTGGAATTTTACTACAAAAATTGCAAAGTGAATTTAAAAGACTGACTTAGATGTGACTCTTCCAGACAACCTCGCTCCTATTATTACCATTATTTTATAAAACACAAGACTTTCAATTCCAGAAAAAAGAGGACACAGTCTTAATAAAATATAACCCCAACTTAATCAGATTCAGTGTTGCTTATTTTTTTATTTTTTCTCAGTCTGATACTGAGTTTTCTAAATTTTTACAACTTGATGGATAAACATTAAGTACCTTTTGTGAATCACAACTCTGCATGACTCAACAGCTACAAATGAAAAAAAATCCAAGGATATCCTTTGAAGAGCAAGGCTGCTTGGTTAGGAAAAAAGCTTGTGGGGACAGGGGGCAGTGCACGTCTCTAGCCAGGCACAGGTACACAGAGTCTTGGGGTTTAGAAAGCTCTTCTTATCTGAGTCATTTTAAGATTTCTCAGCGTAATGGCTTTCAGCCCCTAAACAAGGGGGGAATTTGTTGGCATGTGTTGTTCATGTAACACAGTGAGAGCGTATCAGTTGAGATTATTTGTCAGGAAAGACTAATAAGTACATACCAGTTATACCAGTTACCTACCATATATTATGGTAGGATTTGAACCATCAAAATTCTGGTAGGGGAAACCTTCCTCAATTCTGGAAAGAAATAGCAAACCATCCCTTGGTCCTAACATTCCTGGTGGCAGGTTTGGCTGAGGAAAGAACGATATCTAAGTGAAATCACATTGGTTTTATGAAGACAACAGAAGCACTTCATTTTACGCAAGACTGAAGACTTGTGAGGTGCAGTCAACACCTGATGGACCTGAGATTTTTGTTTCCCAATGGAGCAAGTGAGCAGGACTGTCAGTTCATAATTTTTGAGGGGAAGATTTCTAGTGAATGCCAAATCCAGGTGTGAGAAGAGAAATTAGACACATGCTGCCTCATGAGTGGACTTTGAAAACATGCCAAACACTGTGTGATTATACTTAATACAAGTCAAATTTATAGAGATAGGATTAGGATGGTGGTTTTGAGGGGCTGGAGAAAAATAATAGGAAATTGCTAACTAATGGTTATAGAGTTTGAGTTTTGCAAGATAAAATAGCTCTGGAGATGGACTGTGGTGATGATTATATGACAGTGTGAAAACCAACTGCCATTGAACTTCACACTTAAAATGGTTAAGATAGTCAATTTTATGATATATGTATTTTATGTTGTATGTGTTTTACAATTTGAAATAAAAAGAAATCCAGGTGTGACCATCAGGTGGGTGGCAGGAAGCATTCAGAGGTAGGATTGCTGAGCATGACAACAGTCTGGGTGGATTGGAAAGCTGTGATCCGGGAGCTGAAATCTTGCATCACTGAGGGAGTGACTGGGAGACTGGTAGCAGACAGCCCGGGGAGGAGGAGAATGTGGTACTGTGGGGCAGTGCTGTAGTTTGAGTGTGTCCTCTAAAGGTTCATGTGCTGGACACTTGGCCCTCCATGCTGTGACATTGGAGGTGGTAGAATCTTTGACTTGTGAGACTTAGTGGAAAGTAGTTTGGTCATGGAGGGTGGGTGTTGCCCCCAGAAGGGATTAATGTAGTTCTCTTGGGACCCTGGTTCATATGAGAGTGGGTTGTTATACGTGACCATACCAGGTACTTGGTTTCTTCTGCATGTGGCTATTTCTTTCCCACTTTGCCATGTTGTGAAAGGGGACTTTCACTGGAGGCCAGACAGATGGGGCAGCTTCATCTTAGACTTTCAGCCTCCAAAACTGTGATCCAAATAAACCTTATTTCTTTATAAAGTACCCATCCCCTATCACAGCATCCAGACTACCTTTCCGGTTTCCATAATGCTCATGCTGCTTGTATCAGTCTGTTTTCTGTTGCTATTCCCTCTTCTTAAAGTAGAGGCTCGTGGCATAAAGAAAAACCATTTCAACTTCTAGTACCAGGTTATTCTGAAAAAGGAATTAGAAGGAAAGCAACCCCATCCACTAATATCTACGGAATGTCTGAGGACAGTCAGGACTAGTTGAGCCAACTCCTTTCCCTCCTGGATGGATATATAAAAACCATGAAACTAAATACCAGGAAAACTCTGCTGGGGGGGGGTCTTCAGCCATGGAAGGGGGTAGTCAGGGCAGGTACAGTACACAAAACTACATTTCTAAAAAGGACTGCTTCTAGGCAATCATGATTCAGGTATTCTCTGTGGGGTTGAACATAAACAGGGCTGCATCCAGGATGAATTTTTAGTTTTTCATGCCCAACAATTGAGAAGCCTCTGGGTTTCTTAGATTTCTGATACATCCTATTAATGAGAAGAAATTTCCCTGGATTTATCTAGTTTAATCCAAATCCTGCAGAGTCAGGCCAGGAGTGCTCTTTTTTTTTTGGTACCGGGTTTTGAACTCTTGAACTACTCCACAAGCCCTGTTTTGTGTTGGGTATTTTCTAGATAGGCCTCTTGAACTTATTTTTGCTGGCTTCTAACTGTGATCCTCCTGACCTCTGCTTCCTTAGTAGCTAGGATTACAGGTGTGAGCCACCCACCCCACCGGTGCCCAGTAACCAGGCCTGTTTGCCTGCTTTTCAGTATAGCATTGACTGGAACAATGAGTTTTGCAAAGGAGAGAAAACTTATTGCCAGGCAGCTGAGCATGGAGGTGGAAGAGCCAAATCTCAAATCCATCTTTGGATATTTATGAGATATCCAAAGGTGGATTTGAGGGGATATTTATGGCATAAAGAAGCAGAGTGGTCTGAGGCATGGGGAAAAATGATTGCAGATGAAGTAATCAGTCTTCATGGAATGCATGTTTAGAACATAGCAATGTTAGCATAATCTGAGGATTGAGTTTTGGCCCCCCCCTGACATCAAAAGGTCATTCCTCAAACACCTGTGCAGGTCACAAAAACAGTCTTCATGTCTCTGAGAAGTAACCTAGGCAATCATTATGTACAGTTTTCTCTCTTCCCCTCCCCTCCTCTCCTGGAATTGAACCCAGGGCTTGGCGCTTGCTCTACTACTTGATCCAGACACCCAGCCCTCAGGTACAGTTCTATGAGATGGGAAGGGGTGAATAGTTGCCCTGTTGCAGAAGTCCTTACTTTGTGGATCCCTTTAAAAAACGTGAACAAAAACTTCAACTTGAGCGAACACACAAAGCCACACAGGTTACAGCAGAGCTCTGGAATGTCCAGTCCTTTGCAGAGCAGCTACAGACACACGTGATCTCCCACCCAGCCTATTGGCCTTGAATGATTCGCGTAAGAATAGAAGTTTCAGGGCTGGATCTGAGGCTCTGAGGCTAGGGAGGAGGGGCCTGAGCACGAATAACGTAGCCTTGTCACCGCAGCTGGCTGCTGGCCAAGCTCCACCACTTCGCGGTGAAGGGTAACTGAACTTCCTGCGGAGGGAGGGAGGAAACAGTTAAAATCCTGAGGCAGCTGCAATCATCTAGGCGTGGTTCCCTGCTCTGACTTGGGCTGCACAGATCCTGGACCACGGGGCAGAGGAAGGACAGCATTAGGCGGCAGAGCCTCCCAGATGGCTGAGTTGGATCTGATGGCCCCAGGGCCCCTGCCCGTGGTCACTACTTATCCTCTGGCCTCTCTTGGCTCAGACTCTGGGTCAGCCAGCCCAGCAGAAGAAAACGATGTGGGCTCCCTGGGGAAGCAAGTGGAAGAGAACGAGGGACAGGGCAATAGCGAGGTAGAGGCCAAGGCTCCTGGTGGTGAGAGTGAGGAGGAGATCCTGTGTGACTTCTGTCTTGGGACCAGCAGAGTGAAGGCGGTGAAGTCCTGTCTGACCTGCATGGTGAATTACTGTGAGGAGCACCTTCGACCACACCAGGAGAACAGCAAACTACATAGCCACCAGCTGACTGAGCCTGCAAAGGACCGAGACCTGCGCACCTGCCCTGCCCACCACAGTCCACTGGTTGCCTTCTGCTGCACAGACCAGCAGTGTATCTGCCAGGAATGTAGTCAGGATGAGCACAGGAGCCACACTACTATCTCTCTGGATGCTGCCCGCAGAGACAAGGAGGTGAGTGCTAGCAGTCTGTCTGTCTGGGAACAGGTGATGGGAGGTAGTGCCCTCAGGGAGAGGCTGGCCACACTACAGCTTCTGGCTCTGCCAATGTCACTTCTGTGACTAAGTGTACAGAAAGGAATGTAGCCTTAATACCTGGTTGTTGGTCCTGCCTACATATGTAGTACCCTTGGCCTCAGAAACTGAAGTGGGTTATTCTGTCCCCATTTCTGTCCCTCTGTTGCTGTGCAGTCTGTCTCTGCCTCTGCTCCTGCTTGTGAGTTTCCTGCTAGTTCTCATGGTAGCTTTTGGTAATGTGTGTTGGAGTGTGGGGTACAGAGGTTGTGGGGCTTGGCAGGAGGTGGTGTTTCCCTTTGGTGGGAGCTGTGAGGCAACAGCTCTATCAGCTAATGAAATGCAAACCTTGGCAAAAATTCAAGAGAAAAGAATAAGCCTTTCCCCTAATTTCTCTTTTTCCCTTTACCCCAAAAAAGAGGCCAGTAAAAAGTACCCCGCTAGAGATACCGATTCTGAAATCCAAGAACTTAAAAAATGCTGAGATACAGAATTTGAAACTCACATCCACGTATGACGTCAAGGGTGACTTAACTTACGGAAAATAAAAGTTCCTTACCAGCTGAGGGTATCTGGAGAGGCTGAGAATCTCCATGGTCAGAGACATGTGATGAGGGTACTATTTCTAGAACACCTAGTTTTCCTTTGCCCTCCACCTGGGGGCCTAGAGACGTCCTTGGGAATGGATTTGGTGGTTTTATATGCCTTGTTGTCTTTCCACAGCACTTTTTTCCCCCAGTAGGAAGTATACTTGGCTTTGTCCCATGTTTCTTGTATTCATACTCACGGCAGCCTCCTATTTGTATTTCACATGGCTGCCAGTTTCACAGCAATTTTTGCTAAACGCTCCTGGGCAATAAAGGGAAGAGGTTTCTAGAAAAGAGGGTTTCCTTGCCAGGGCACCTTCTCTATGCCTATCCCTAGACATAGACTCTAACCAGAGTGGGTGGGAGTTCTTGTGGAAAACCCTGCTTTCCAATACCAATGAGTCACCATTTCTGGCCCAGAGAGCCACTTGTCATCTGTTTCCACTTGTTTCCCATGTCAGGGGATGTCCTGTCAGGAAGGTAGTTAGATCAACAAAGGAAAAAGCTCTACACACTGAGGAAAATAGTCTGTTGAGCATCACTATTTGCAAAACGTTTTTCACAGATTTTACCATCCAATCCTCAAATAACTGTGATGTTAGTTATCTCTTATTATTATCTTATTATCTCTACCACACTTGTGCAAGTTTATACAGTTGACCTAGTCATGGAATGAGGCATGGAAGCTTTTGGAAAGCCACCCTATTGAAGAAATGTGAAGGAAGGACCTAAAAACCACAATATTACAACCTTACTTAAAAAAAAAAAGATTGTACCAAAAATCTTCCCCATATGTACTAGAGATATTCCCTTTGGGTATAATATTTGAATTAAAGCAATGCAATATTTAAAAAAAAACAACCTCCACCAAATAATGCAATAGACTTTAATAGGAAGAGAAGGTCTCCAGTCCATCCTGGATCCCCACATCTCTCTCTTCTCATAGAGGCTAGCTACCTATACTTACGATTTCCTTTAGAAATGTTCTATGCCTATACTAATACAGATACAATATAAACTTTAAGTGTAGGGAACCTAATTGTCACAGAGACCTAGGGTGATAGTAATTTGTTTAGAGCATGTGCACAGCCCCAAATGCAGATATCCTAGGAGAGAGCTGTGCAAGATAAAATACTGACAGCAGGGTGAGGTGCTCTAGGATGGTTTTTGTTCTGAAAAGCAATCATGGCTTTAGGTACAATATATAGCCCTGTATCCCAGACCCCTCTGCTTTCTAGTCTGCTTCTGAGAGCTCATGTCTTTTCCATCCTTGTCCTTGTTTTCAGCCCAGACAGCAAGTTTACTTGTAAATGTGGCCACACTGTAAGTGTCTTAGGAGCCAAAAGGTTTCTTTCAAGGAGCTTTAAGAGAGCAGCCCAGAAGTCAACAGTACCTTGATGAGGCTTCAAGCTCTACCAGGATTGTTGTTTGTTTGTTTTGTGGTACTGGGGTTTGAACTCAGGGCCTATACCTTGAGCCACTCTACCAGCCTTTTTTTGTGATGGGTTTTTTCTGAGATAGGGTCTCATGAACTATTTGCCTGGGCTGTCTTGGAACTTCAGTCTTCCTGATCTCTGCCTCCTGAGTAGCTAGGATTACAGGTGTGAGCCACCAAACCAGTGCCCAGCCCACCAGGATAGTTGTTGTCTAAAGTCCTCCGCTCTACCAGCTGAGCTATCGAAGGGAGCACCAGGGTAGTTTTGAAAGGATTATCAGACATACCCCGGGCTCCAGAAGCCCAGTGTTCTTTTCAGGTAGTCCAAGCCTGTTGCAGTCACTTGCTGAAGGTCACTTTGGAGCTTGTTAAGGGCTAATTACTCAGGCAGGCACGTTGTGTACAGGAAATTGCAAATGGTGGGGTCATCTGGGAGGACACAGAGCAGCCAAGATCCTGCTTAGAGAGCCACAGAGTGACATTTCTCAGATAACCAAGTGAGCCCTTTCTGAGGCTCCCATGGTTACCACCAGGTAGGCCAGCACGCAGAAGCTGTGGGCTTTAATTATCTAGCTTCCAGAGCCCAGCTATTCCCAACGGGAATATCAATACTTCCCTTTGCCCTAGCTTAGCTTCTGAGACCTCTTTGGTCTTAAGAACAACTGGTCTTGCCTGAAACCTGCTAATGTCTCTCACCTTCTCTAAATCTCAGGCCCGCCGTCATGATGTGTGTGTGTGTGTGTGTGTGTGTGTGTGTGTGTGTGTGTGTGTGTGTGTGTTGTAAAATTTGGGCACCTGTTCTGTTGGTTCTGCTCCATGAAGTGCATGTGGCTCTTTCTTGTTCTTCAAGCTTACACACATTATGTACTGCATGCTATAGGCTATGTGTCCAGCTGCACTATCTGTCCTCCAGGAGTCTGGTCTCTAATCAGGAAGCCTGCCAAAGGGTTACCATAACAAAACTGCATGTTCAAAGGAAGGAGCCATCTCTGGGAAAGAGGTCAGATCAGGGATCTTGGAGAAGGGAAGGCCTGAGCTGAGCCTTGTCTTAGATATTTGGAGACCACCAGTGCCAGGCACACAGTGGTGACGGTACACAGTTTCCATGCAGTGTAAGAGCCAAAAGCCTTTGTGCTTGTCCAGGTAGCCATTGATCAGCAAAACTATCTGTTGGTAGCCAATAGGTGGATGATATGCAGCCCCACTCAGGATAAGGATTTCTTCCAGAAATTCTGAGGAATGCATTGGACATGGTATTATGTAACTTCCTTTTTTTTTTTTTTTTTTTTTTTACAGTCTACTAGACTGTAGAAGTCTTCTAAGAGCTAGGAGTGGGTGTCTTATTTGACTGGACTGACATGTCCACCAAGCTCTGGATACCCTCTTTGTCCAGTAGACAGAGGAATAATTCTATCAATATTCATGTGGCCTTGTACCAGAAGAGAAGCTAAATGATTTGGTAAGATCATACAGCCAACTAGCAATGAGTCTTCAGCTCCCAAATGATGTGCTTTTGCACAGCAGTAATCATGACTTTGCTGAAGTGGGCAGACCTCTCTGCCCTTCACTAGAAAGGCTAGAAGCCTGTCTGTGCTTCCAAGCACCACTGTCCTGCTCACGCTCAATGTGTGCATGACTGATATTTTGGGAAGCCCTAAAGCCAAAGTCTGAGGCAACCCATCATTTTCTAGGAACAGGAATAACTGGAGCCACAAGCCTCCAAAGTGGCCCCACCTTTCATGGTAATTGGGAATGCCTTCTCTGGGATGACTCACTCGGAAGAGGCCCCCATTCGGTACATAGGAGTTCTTCTTTCCTTTTATGGTAGTCTGCAGACAGAGGAGAGAAGTCCCTTACTGGATATTCTGGGTGTCTCCCTAGGGCCTGGTTAGGGTTGACTGTTTTTACACATTTTTATGTCACTACTGTTTAAATGCTGTATTTCCTGAGCCAGGTTGCTAGGGTGTTTTATTGTATCTTCCAACACCCTTAAACAACAGTTCATGTTTCTTCCCTGTCCCCTGGAATAGGTCACTGCATGAGATTCCAAGATAAGCCAGACTGCCCTCACCTCCTCTTCCCTCTCCTTTTACTCACTCCTCATTGCCATGCATCAGGTCTCCTGTCAGGGGTGAGAGGTCACTGAGGCTCCTTCATCTCAGCAAGGTTTACCTGCCTTCTGTAGTGTCCTAGTGATGTAACTGCCCTGTCTGCAGCTGCTTCCCTCACTGGGAGGCCAGGAAGTTCCCCAGGGTTCATGAGAGAATGGGCAGACACTTAATTTATGACTTCTGAGGCCTATCAGTCATAATGACCCATAGTGTTAAATGCAGACAGAAGCTATTAAAAGCCCTGAGAGCTGTTTATTTAATATTGCTATTTCTTTTTTTTGCTATCTCATGCCCTTTGGAAGTAGGAAAGCGACAGGGCCTTTGAAGTTTGAAAAGGCTTAGGTTTTCTGCAGTGATAGACTTCTTGGCAGAGTATTTAGTGAGTCCCAAGAGCCTGAGGTCAAGGCAGGCAAACCCAAGGTTCTCAGGTAGGCACTTACCTTGGCTGCAGTGGAAGTAGGGGTGGGAAAACTGGGGGTGGAGTGGGGAAGGCTGGCTCTGCCTGGCTCCAGGAGCAAACAGAGTCTGAATGAAAAGTCACCATGGCAGAAAGAAGGATAATGATGATAATGACACTGAGGATGAAGCGTGGGCATTTGTGGTGTACTTACAACGTATTCACGAATTTCTTGCAAACATACACTAGCTCATTTAATTCAGTGTCTCATAGTCTTAGTAAGTAGACACTTTATTCCATCTCATATGTTGAGGAAGTGGATGTTTAGAGACATTAAGTTGTGAAGCAATAAGAAATACAAGTTTGGTATACAGAGAGATAGTGTTAAAATTGAGTTAAATTGTAGAACACCCAGCTGGGTATCAGTTTTTTGGCATGGGAAAAAAAAAACAACCTACATGTTTTGTGTTGAGTGTATGTGACCACACATGCCACCTGATGGAGTGAATGAATCAGTAGGTAGAGTGATAACGAACTTTATATAAACAAGAAGTCAGCATGCTCATGCCTGCAATCCTAGCTACTTGGGAAGCAGACATCAGGAGGATCTTGGTTCGAGTCCAGCCCAGGTAAAAAGTTTACAAGACCTTATCTCAAAAATACCCAACACAAGAAATGGCTGGTGCAAGTGATAGAGTGCCTGCCTAGCAAGCATGAGGCCCTGAGTTCAAACCCCAGTATTGCAAAAAACAAAAAAAGACAGCATGTTGGAAGATGGTAGGCTTTCACCTTTCTACAGTCTTCTTATCCCTTGTCCTAAAGAAGACTCTTTCGTATGGTTTTTCAAAGGAAGGTATGTAAGTCTCAGAGAGGTGAGCACCTCAATTATCCGGTGTTTCAAAAAGTAGCCTCTTCTGAAGGGTGGGCTGTGTACATTTTATCTCCTTCACATAGGTAGCTGAGGGTTGCAGTCCAGTGGATGTAAAGAGAACATTAACTGTAACTGAAAGTTCAGTCCTTGGACTCAGTGCCAATTTACAAAGAAGGTGTTTATTACTTCACTAGGCAAATGAGGAGGGCAGTGAGATCAAGTCTTACATCTACTATCCTTCCCCTGAGAGAAAATGTCACGCTCACCAGATGATGGTCTTGTTCTTCCCAACTCACTATCACCATACTTTTGCAGGTTGCATGTCTTGTTTGACAGAGGTCTCCATGGTCAGAGAGAGATAACGGGTTGCTCGGTCTGGTTCAAAGAGTGTTAATCTTGAGTTTCCCAGCATGGGACAGAGAGAGAGAGTGAGAGTGAGAGAAAGAGTTTAAATTTTTGTATATGCAGCACAGCAAACTGCAAACTGGTCAGCAATGCAATGCAAGGTGGCTACAAACAAAAGGTTTTTTTGGTGGTCCCTGTTAAAAAATGATTAAAGTTTCTGTGTTAGTTAAAGTGACTTGTATCTGGTTTTTGCTGTGGTCAGTGTTTCTGGCAAGCACCCTTTCAGGTATGACCTTCTTTTATAACTTGGGACTTGGAAATACCAGGGAGGGAAGGGTTTGTGCATTCCTGGCTATCTTTAGTGTGTAGTTAACTTATAAAAGATAGACTTCCACCCAAAAAAAAAAAAGATAGACTTCACTGGGCAGTTAATTCTTAAGAAACAGAGCAGGCAGGGGCAAGGAGAAACTTCTGAGCATTGGGACTTGATTGAAGAGATTTTGTGTGCTTCTAAGTATGAGAAAAAATTGTTTTCTATACATAAGTAAATTCGATCAAAGTTTAAGCTGCTAGGTTTAAAAAAAAACAAAAACTGGGCTCCCCACCTGGACATCTAGCTCCAAGCCCACACTTACTTTTTTTTTTTTCTTTTTAGTGAGTTTGAACCCACACTCACTCTTAAGATATTCTGGGTCAGAAGGTCCAGGCTCACTTCCACTGATGGACTTTCAACCTTGGGTAAATGGCTCAATTTTATTATCTCCAAATGGAGATAATAATCTTTTTTGCTAATATGGGTAAAGATGATAAAGGTATTCCCTATAAATGCCTAAAATGATGACCAGCACAGTAACGGAGTTGATTTCATACAGAGTTCAGTCCCAAAAGGTGCTGGCACACATCTGACCCTCTGTGCCTCTAATACTGGCTTCTGAGATAGCCTTCAAAAATCAAACTCCTTTTCAGGGAAGACAGGCAGGAACCTCAGGAATGGAAAGTGCACTGCCCCGGGGATTGTATGTGTGCACCAGCCTCCTTCCTCCTTAACTTTCTCCCTTCTGCTTCTTAGGCTGAACTTCGGTGCACCCAGTTGAACTTGGAGCAGAAACTCAAGTTGAATGAAAACGCCATTGCCAGGCTCCAAGCCAACCACAAGTCCGTGTTGGTAAGCCTGGACTGGGTCACCTTCAGCACATCTGGTTCCACTGCAGGATCAGCCAGGCCTATTTGTGGTTGTGGGGCATAGGCTGTAAGTCCAGTGGTGTTTCTCAGCTAGTGAGCCTTATAGGTACAATTGGCTGCACTGTTCAGACCTTCATGTCTGAATTTGTTATGACATTGGCTTAAGTTTTAAAACTGTCAAGTGATTTACTAGTTTGGGTTTTTTTTTTTTTTATGCTGGGGTTTGAACTCAGGGCCTTGTGCTTTCTAGGCAAGCACTCTACCACTTGAGCCACACCCCCAGCTGTGATTTACTTTTTAATAATGTAAAATGGAATCAAGACTCAGAATAACAGCGTTCTTATTTTTGCATGTGCATGTGCTTTATTGACCCGGAGAAAAGTGTGCATGTGAGTGTTTAGCCAGAGCTGCAGGAATTATACGTGATCTTGGCTCCTTCTATCTTCTGCCTGCAGAAAGGTACTCTGCAGGTACCTCTCACCAGTCCTATATCCTGGCAGCTTGATAAGCCAGTGGTGTGCCGGAGTGCTTAGCTTTAGTCTCTCTGCTTAAGGTCACTTTTCAAATAGACTCTAAGTAGAGCAGTTCTACAAATACCTCTCATTGGTGACAAGCCAATAACCACTACTCAGAAGAGAATACAAAACGCCTACCTTATGGTAGAGTCAGCAGTTTTGTATGCTGGGAATGAATGATTTCATCCATCCATCTATCATTTGTCCATCCTGTCCATCCATCCACCCACTTACCTATCTATCTGTCTCCGTATCCGTGTGTCTTCCCATCTATCCGTCCATCTGCGTACTCATCCACTCATTCTAATCCATGTATCCATTTCAACTTAATTTATGCCAGTTAGTATAACTATCTGCTGAAGGATAAAACCTTTCTTACCTACAATATCTAATTAAGAAAGAAAAATCGTTGTCCCTTTAAAATCTTACAAGCCCTCCGATAGTAATAGCTCTAGATGACTCAGAGAATCACATGGGGCATCTTATGTTTTTCTGGATCTTTAATTTTTAGATGCTTTGATATCTGCCTACCATTATGAGAATAATGACATGTGACCAGGGGAGGAAGTTATGGTAATGTCCATCATACACAGGATTATGAAGACACACAGAGAGACAGTTAGATTTGTCTTGGGTTCCTTATATTGACGGAACAGGAGAATCTGATTGTTACTCCCTTGACCTAAGAATGACTCAGTACACTGACAGGGTGCACCACCCTCAGATCTTTAAATTGTTAACTATTGGCTACTTTGGTATGTTTCTGGCCTCTCCTCTCTGCATGGTTCACTTGTCATCCTTCGGGTACCAAATAATATCCTTAGTATGTTCCGTTTACATGAAGTAAGAAGTGTTTCTCAGTGGGAAGAGTCAGGAAGGAGGGGACATAGCAGGAGTCAGTATACCAACATCATTTGAACACTCCCTTCTATCATCCTTCAGAATGGCCTCAGTGGGGGTGGGAAAGGGATGTGGATCCTAAATTTTTGTCTTCAGACTCATGTCTCCAAAATCATGCTTATATGAGGAGCCTACATATTGTAATTACAGAGAAGATATGGATCCTTCTCCTTTCTCATGATGCTCTCATGTTGGTTCCCATGCTGCTCCCCCTCCCCAGCACTGGGGCTTGAACTCAGTGTCTCACGCTTGCTAGGCAGGTGCCCTACCACTCGAGCCACTCCACCAGCCCTTTTTTGTGATGGGATTTTGAGATAGCATCTCCTGAACTATTTGCTAGGGCTGGCTTCAAACAACGATCCTCCTGATCTCTGCCTCCTGAGTAGGCAGGATTACAGGCGTGAGTCACTGGTGCCTGGCTGTGCTGATGCTTTTTTTGGTAGTGATTAGAAGTGGGCAGAGCAAGGAGCTCTGACTAGCCTTTATGACTCATGTTGCTCGGATACCTAGTGCCTGATGAGGCAGGAAAGGTGAGTAAACCAGGAAGCTAGAATGCAGAGCTTTGAGAAGATACCAACAGCTACACTCTCCAAAGGTAATAAGCACACTGACCTGTTTTCTAAGGTAGATGTGTCCATCCTTGTTTTCTCATCCTTATAAGGATGTAGATAGTGCCCTTGCTTAGTGATCAAGGGACTAATTCCTGTCTCTTCTCTGGTCCTGGGAGAGTGTCAGTTTAATGAACTGAATTCCAGTATCCTTCTGCAACCCTTATGAGGCTAAACCCCATGGGCTGAAAACTCAGCTGAACCATACCCTCTCCTCCCCTGCTTGGCCTGGTGAATGTGCCAGTGTCCCCAGGAAGAGGGCTAGGTCGTGCCTGTTGAGCTGCTATCGGCAGCTGTGTGGGATCCCCCATCTTAGACTCTACTTCAAGGCAGTGTAGACAAAATGCTTGAGCTGAGTACTTCATACAGGGAAAAAGGTTTATTTAGCTCAGTCCTGGAGGTTTACAAGCATGTTATTAGCATCACCTGAGTTCTGATGAGGAGGTAAGGACCTCATGGTGGACAGCATGACCATGGTAGGAGCATGCATGGGAGGGGGAAGATCACATGGCAAGACAGGAGGCCAGAGAGAGACCAGGCAGGAGCCAGCCTTGCTCTTACTTTTTTTTTTGGTGGTACTGAGTTTTGAACTCAGGGCCTTGTACTTGCTAGGCAGCTCTACCACTTGGGCCACTGCCCTCTGCCCTTTTTGCTTTAGTTATATTTTTAATAGGGCCTCACTAGGACTGGCCTGATCCTTTTTATGTTTCCTATGTAGCTAGGATGACAGGTGCTTGCCACCATGCTCAGCTTTCATTGGTTAAGGTGGGGTCTCATGAACTTTTTGCTCAAGCTAGTCTTGAACTGCAGTCCTCCTTATCTTCACCTTCCACTTCCCAAGTAGCCAGGATTAGAGGTGTGGACCACCTTACATAGCCTCAGACTCACTCTTTTATAGCAATCTTTTTGTGAAGACAAAGTGGGTTCAGTTCCAGGAGAGCTAAGGATGAGGGCAGGATCTTCAATGATCCATTCTCTTCCACTAAGCCCCACATCTTTTTTTTTTTTTTTGGTGGGACTGGGATTTGAACTCAGGACTTCATACTTACAAAACAGGGGCTCTGTGGTTTGAGCCATACCTCCAGTTCATTGTGCTCTGGTTATTTTTGGAAATGGGGTCTGGGAAACTATTTGCCTGGATTGGCCTCAAACCATGATCCTCCCAATCTCAGCCTCTCAAGTAGCTAGGATTATAAGTGAGAACTGCTGGCACCCAGATAAGCCCCATATCTTAAAAAGTCCCACCTCCTCTTAACCTAGACACACTGGGGGCCAAGCTTCCAGCACCTGAACAAACTGTATCCAAGCCATAGTGGTGATAAAAGAGATGGTCCCTGATCATGGCATGGGCAAATCACAGTTTCCTTATTTATGACATACAGCTGGTGCAGTGGCTCAAGTGGTAGAGGACCTGCCTAGCAAGTGTGAAGCCCTGAGTTCAAACCCCAGTCCTACCAAAAAAAAGCTTATCTATGACATAGATAAGAGCATCTTCCTTTTAGGATTGCTATGAGTTATTTACAACAGTGCAACTTAGTATATCTCAGTTGTTGTGTGATTACTATTTTATGTCATTAAAAAAGTAACCAGACAGGCAGCAGAGGATTCTCATTCCTAGGTGGGTGGGAGGAGGGAGCAAAGTCGAGTGTCAGAGAGCCCTGGCGGCAGGTGTGCTGGCTATTTGGGTCTCCCAGGTGCAGCCCAGGTAGCCTTCCCTATCTTCAGGTCTTCATTCTACAGACAGTGCTCTGAACTTCTACCCTGCATCCCAGAACTCATTCTCTGCCTGCCTCAGTCTCCCCAACTTTCCTCACCCACCTCCATCCCATCCAAGAACTCTCTGAGCAGTCCATTTAAGTCACACTCCCACCAAGAGCCAGGGCCAGCCATCCCAGGGCTCCAAAGGGCATCTGAAAAGCAGGTCTCCTTATGTTTCCCAAACTGCCTCTCTTGCTTCTTAGCAAACTGTGCTGCTCTTGCTTCTCAACACTGCCCCCTGTCTAAAGGCTCTTCCTGCTTTGAACTTGAGGAATTTGGAGAAAGTATCTTAATTCTGTTACCACAGTGTATTTGCTTCCAACCTAAGGAAGCCAGCAGATGATGGAAAAGCTGACAAAAATGAGAATGTGAAGAGATTCCTCATGTTCTCCCAATATCCCCTCCCAGGAAAGATGCCACTTGCTATCTTTCTCTTGCTTATTCCTCCTTCTGTCTTCAGCCATCACATCAAAGGCTGATCAAAGGCTAGGTGTCCTCACGGAATTGTCTTCCTGAACCCTGGCCAGCCAGGGTCACCAGCCAGGCAGAGTTCTTCCTATCTTGCGTCAGTTCTTATCACTTTCCTGCAGGCTTCCAGGTTCTCATATCCCCTGAAGCCTTCCTTTCTGAGTCCTCTCCTTACTGTGTTCCCCTGTTGGGGTTTGAGTCTTAATGGTTGAAGAGACTAAGTTAACAACCAGCATACATCTAGGAGAGTAAATCTGTTTCACCAGAAACCTAGAATTCCCATGAACACAAAAACTGTCTTTTATAGTAGAACATTGCTCCCTGATTTCTGGGTTTCTCAAGTTTATATTTCTGTATGTTGAGCTGAATGCCTCCATAATGGATTCTCAGTTGCCTCCCATTCCACCCCCCACCAGGTGTCGGTGTCAGAGGTGAAAGTAGTGGCCGAGGAGCAGTTTGGGGAACTCCTTGCTGCTGTGAAGAAAGTCCAGGCTGATGTGATGCTCTTCTTGGAGGAGAAGGAGCAGGCTGCTCTGAACCAAGCCAACAGCATCAAGACCCACCTGGAGTATAGGAGTGCAGAGATGGAGAAAAGCGAGCAGGAGCTGGCAAGGCTGGCGGCCATCAGCAACACTGTCCTCTTCCTGGAGGTACAGAGGAGGGGGAGGGTGGAAGCAACTATGCAACTGCTCTGTGGAGCACCCTTGCTCCACCAGGCCCAAGACACATCTGTGAATGGGACTGCTCTTTGGTAAATGTGGTGCACAGGAGCTGTGGGAACAGAGAGAAGCAGAGGTTGATTCAGCAGAGGTACAGAGGTACAGGAGGAGTAGGGAGAACTGCTCAGAGCCGGGAAGGTCTTGGAAGGTGAGTCAAGTTCAAGGTACAGTGTGTTTCAGGAAGCAGGAACAGCATGTACAGAGGCAGAGAGGTCTGAGAAAGCACAGTTGGCTTGGGGAACCAAGACACTTTCACATAGGGATGGAGCACGGAAGACTGGACTCATAGTGACTGGAGATGTTGAACAGGGCCAGGAAGGCAAAGGACTTTAGGTGGGGAGGGATGAGAGCAGACGCCATGGCAGTTGTGTGGAGGCTTGCCTGGCAGGGGTTTGCAGACAAGGGTGTGTCCACTTGGGTAATTGAGGAAGGATCAAGAGAAAGAATGGAATTTTCCATTACAGTGTATCATTGCACATCAAGGATGACATTGGAGCCAGGTCTAGAGAACATGTACTCTTACAGGGAAGGAACACTATGCTGGGTAAATTCCACCATCCTGGATCTGTCATTAAATAGCTTGGTGGCTTTTAGCAAATCACTTAACCTCTCTGGGTCTCAAATTGCTCACTTATCAAACCAGCATTGGGGTAAATATTTTTCAAGACTTCTTCCAGCTGTGATATTCCCAAATACAAACAATTTTTCTTACTTGCATTTTTGAATAATTCTCTTCTCATTGCAACAAACTAAGTATTTATTATGAAAAGTTTGGAAAATACAGAAAAATATAAAGGACAGAAAAAATCACTCACAATCCCAGTACCCAAAGACAGCCATAGTTAACATTTTAGTGAGTGAAAGAGAAACATACAAAGACAGAAGTGTCTCTTCTGTCCATCCCTTGCTTTTTCAATGTGAAAATATAAAGAAAATATGGATAAATATTTGACTGCCTATGTCATGCGTTTCTCCCAACATCTTCTATCCAAAGAGTATCAAAATCATTTCCCTTTGTTTTTTCCTTTTGTAACTTATTTCTAACATAAAACCTTAACATGCATAAAATATGTTTTAGTACAATATGTCTTAGTTTTTAATTTTGATGAAAGATAACTCTTTTCTCCAAATTGTAAGCCAGTTGAAATGACGGCATTAATTTATTTATTCATTTGTTTATTTGTTTGTTGTCTTGCTATGTAACCCAGGTTGGCCTTGAACTCATGATCCTCCTACCTCAGCTTCCTGAGTACTGAGATTACAGGCACGTGTCACCACACCCCGCTGACAGCATTTATTGAATAACCTATCCTTTTCCCCACTGATTTAAAATGCAGCTTTTGTCACTCATGGCACCAAGTCAATATCCAGTATTAAAATGCTTATCTATCTGGCTTGGACTTCTCTTCTATAGATCTATGTAACCATTGATATGACATTTCCATTTCTGCTGCCTCCAGCCTGCTCTTTGATGCTTCCTTTGTAACACATTTTGAAAATGTGTTATATCTGAAAATAATCTTTCTTTAATTACCTGTGGGTAAAGATTTTTCAAATGCAGGCAGACTCATGCCTGTAATCCTAAGTACTTGGGAGGCTATGATCAGGAGGATAGCACTTCAAGGCCAGTCTGGGCAAATAGTCCTCAAGGCCAAAGTAACCAGAGCAAAACGGACAATGGACTGGAGGTATGGCTCAAGCAGTAGAGCACCTGCTTTGTGAGTGTGAAGCCCTGAGTTCAAACCCCAGTCCCACCAAAAAAATAAAAAAGAATTTTCAAACACTATGCAAAGTACAAGAATAACAAATGTATGCATTGGAAAGGAATGCATTCCTGTCTAAGGATTTGTTTGGAGATCTTTAGACTACAGCAACTCCAATCACTACTATGATATGTGTTTAAATTATAAAATTAGAAAAAAATGGAGGGAATGAATGGAGCAAGAATGTTCTTATTCTTTGCTTCCTAGCTGGGCTGTGTGTTAAAGCTGTTTGTGGACATCTAATATCTTTTGATTTTTAAAAGCACACTTTCCCACTTGATTTTGAAAAGACACTTTTATTTAAGGATGTACCAGCATAGAAAAAGCTTTTTATGTTGTTAGACCCCAAGCAGGAAGGACACTTTACATATACTTGCTTTGTGAGGTACACACATTATTATCAGCCCATTTTACAGATGCAGAAAGAGGCATAACGAGGAGAGCATCTCAATTTAAGAAATACCAACCCCAAAGCAAGTTCTGACATTTCCTTTTCTGCAGGAGTACTGCAAGTTTAAGAACACCGAAGACACTGCCTTCCCTAGTGTTTACATAGGGCTAAAGGATAAACTCTCAGGCATCCGCCAGGTCCTCACGGACTCCACTGTACACTTAATCCAGTTGCTGGAGAACTATAAGGAAAAGCTCCAGGAGTTTGCCAAGGAAGGTGAGCGGCTTTCTGGGCCATGAGCTGCGGTGGGTGTTTGCTCAGGAATGGTTGATGGAGAAAGCAAGAGGAAGTCAAGGAAGGGAGGGCAAGTCAGGGGAAAAGTCTCATATTCAAAGCCATTCTTCAATTAGACCATGTCACTGAAGGACTCTTATCTTGATTTTATTTTAAATTGAGACCTGGAGAAGGTAAGTTAGACACTTGTGCAATTGGCTGGTGTTTCTATGGCTAGCTTCTCAGGTTGCTGTTGCCTGTATTTTAAGTGAAATCCAAGTCAGTCTGGGATTTTTTTCAGCAGATTTTGTCTGGCCCATTGAATGTGGTCCAAGTTCCTAAGCGCCAACCCTTTCTTGCCCCGAAAGCCCAGGGAAGGGTGACAGACTTCTCAGGTTCTCCTGACCGCCTGGGCAGATATATATTCACAACTCTTTCATTTTCTAGAGGAGTACGACATCAAAACTCAAGTGTCTGCTGTTGTTCAGCGCAAATATCGGACCTCAAAGCCTGAGCCCAGAACCAGGGAACAGTTCCTCCAATGTAAGTTGTGAATGGCCTCCCCTCCCCCAGTTGCCAATGTCAGGGAATGCTTCCTGAAGCAAGAGGCACCGTATCTTGCAGAAGATTCAGGTTGTCACAGCCTCTTATCTAGCTCTAAGTGACATACTTTTACATTTTTAATTAAAACATTTCTTTCTGAAGTCATTTAAAACTTGCAAAAACTGGACACAGAAGTCCTGCACATCTTTCAGTCGGCTTCTCCAAAGGTTAACACGTTACATAACTATAGCACGTTGATCAAACCCAGCAAGTTAACACTGCTGCAGTGCTTTTGACTAAGCTTCAGAATTTATGCAGCTTTCATCATTTGTTCTACCATTGTCCTTTTTTCTGGGCCAAAGTTCAATCCAGGAACACTTGGAGGAGTCCTGGCCAGTTACCAAATGGTTCCTTTTTAAGTCTGGCTTGAGCAGATCCCATTGTGCTATTATTATATGCTATCGACCCGGTTTGTTGGCATTTTAAAAAGCACTGTATTTTGGTTCAAGACATCTATTGTGTAACATGATGACTGTGGTTGGTAATACACTTGAAAAATGTTAACAGTATAGATTTTAAGGGTTTCCACCACAAAAAATATGGAATGCACATGAGGAATACATGTGTTAATTAGCTTGAAGTAACCATTCCACATTATTTCAAAACACCATGCTGTTTACCACAAATGTATATACAATTTTGGCTTGTCAGTTTAAAAGAATACTTCATGATAGTTAATAAGTCCAAGAGGTTTCACCTTCTAGCACAGGAAAGACCACTGGTGTAATCAGCGCTCCTTTTTATGACATCTTTTTGGACCATGCTGTTGAATCCTGCTCCTTGTTTTCTGGGGGTGACCCCTGGCTGATGAATTCTTGGACCCTCTTTTTCTTTGGTTACTGTGTGGGGTTTTGGGTGTCAATCACTGTCTTCTATTCTTGCTATTTTTTTTTTCAGGATTTCTTGACTTCACACCGTCTCCTTTATTCTGTCCTACTTCCTGACAGTAGCTCATTTATATTTTACTAGCAGACATAATCAACACAAGAACCCAAGTACCCTTTATTCTTAACATTAAACTGAAAATTAAACATGTCCAATTATAATTCATCTTCTTTTGCAATTAGGTGTTTTTACACATATTAACTTTTCTCTGTTGAATATTATTCTGAATGATAATATTCAGAATATTATCTTTTGAAATACAATATTATAGACAATAAGTAAAGAGCCTATTGCACTAGTGCAGACAAAATTTCCTTATGGTTTAGATGGAAGTTACAGAAGTAGGCTGGAGAGAAGTGGGCAGAACCTGTAGGACTTTCTGATGTCTGTATGTAGGGAGGGATGGAGGGCAAGAATGAAGGTAAAAAGAAATATTAAAACTGCTTTGGATCTTGACCTAAGCAGCTGTGTGCATGGAGGTGCTATTATTCCTTGGGATTGGATAGAGAATGTGTTTGGGGTAGAGAATGTGTTTGGGGTAATGTTTAAGAGTTTACCATGCTAAATACTGATCGAACATTTAAAATATGAATAAATAGGCAGAGCACAGTGGCTCACACCTGTAATCCCAGCTCCATGGAAGGCAGAGATAAAGAAGATTGAAGTTTGAGGCTACCTTGGGCAAAAAGTTGTTAGATCCTATCTAAAAAATAACTAAAGCAAAAAGGACTTGAGGTGTGGCTTAAGTGGTAAAGTGCTTGCCTATCAAGCCTGAGGCCCTGAGCCCAAACCCCAGTACTGCCTCTCCTCCCCCCAGAAAAGAAAAAGATAAAAAGAATGGATCAAATGTGGTATATGAGTATCTATACCCCAAACCCATGACAGCACAGTGTAGAATAGTGCCTGGCTTCCAATACATATTTGTTGAATGAATGAGTGAACAGATAAGTAAATTAATTTACTTGTTTCGGTTCACCAAGTACACAATAGACATCGATCAGTCTGAGCTTCAGAAAGGAGAGAAGTGCAGTGACTGGTGGTCTGTTCTCTGCTCACCTCTTTTCCTAGAGGAGCAGTGGCTGGGCAAATAGAACAGGGAGATGGTGTTTTCTCATGCGTGCCTTGGAGGCCAGCTGGGCTTAGAGTGTTCTATCTGAATCAGCTGTCAGTTCCTGAACAACTCTCCTGCATTCTGTATTTCCTCAGATGCGTGTGACATCACATTTGACCCAGACACAGCACACAGGTATCTCCGGCTGCAGGAGGACAACCGCAAGGTCACGAACACCACACCCTGGGAGCATCCCTACCCAGACCTCCCCAGCAGGTTCGTGCACTGGCGGCAGGTGCTGTCCCAACAGAGTCTGTACCTACACAAGTACTATTTTGAGGTAGAGATCTCTGGGGCAGGTACCTATGTTGGCCTGACCTGCAAAGGCATTGACCGGAAAGGGGAGGGACGCAACAGTTGCATTTCCGGAAACAACTTCTCCTGGAGCCTCCACTGGAATGGAAAGGAGTTCACAGCCTGGCATAGTGACACTGAGACACCACTCAAAGCTGGTGCTTTCCGGAGGCTTGGGATTTACATTGACTTCCCAGGAGAGAGCCTTTCCTTCTACGGTGTAGAGTATGATGCCATGACTCTGGTTCACAAGTTTGACTGCAAGTTCTCAGAGCCAGTCTATGCTGCCTTCTGGCTTTCCAAGAAAGAAAATGCCATCCGGATTATGGATCTGGGAGAGGAACCTGAGAAACCAGCACCACCCTCGGTGGGAGAGGAACCTGAGAAACCAGCACCACCCTCGGTGGAGGCTGCTCCCTAGACTCCAGGACCCACATCCCAGGCCTTTGCTAACTGTGACAATGGGGCAGCAACTTGCATTTTAAGACTGACTTGGAGGCAGAAATAGCTACCATTGGTAGCTGGCTTTAGCTGTCCAGCTGTCCTTCATTGCTGCAGGCAGCACTGTTGTCTGTGTGTTTGCAGTAATTCTAAGGCACCAAAGTCCCCCCCATGAGCTTCTAATGATACTCTTATCTCTGTTCAGGCTAGCAACATGCTCTGCCCAAGATTAGGAACCAAGATCTCTCAGGGAACTAAAAGGATTGCAGAGGAAACCTGAACACATTGTAAACTTTGTTGTGCATTTCCTATGTGACAGACCCTGAGTGCTTCCTGTGTATTAAGTCAATCCTCTCACCAGACCTCATTTTGCAGATGGGGAGCCTGTGGTCCAGGGCAGTCCAGGGTGGCTAGCTAACTAAGTGAAGGGCAAATCTGGGTGAGCTGTTACTGAACTTTTGATCAACACAATATATTGCCTTCCTCATTAGATAATGAATGTTGTATAAAAGGGAATAAACCACACGGTGAATTACATAGCTGTGAAGCAGTGCCTTTAACCATCTCCTCCTAAGAGTTGTCATATCATTTTGCATGTACCGTTCTGGTTCACCCATCCAGCCATGCACTGGCCAAGAGTTCACCACCTCCCATGTAGCTTGTTCTGGTTTTGGACAGTGAAGTGGGAACAACTGCCTTAACGGAGACAAGTTTTAGCTTCTGTGACCTCTGGGAAGGGGGTCTCATCCTCTTTTAAAGTCACCTACTTTCCTTCATGGTTCCCAGTCCCCCCACCCCCAACACCTTGATTATTCATCCTCCTTTTGATAAGTAATCTCCTGAGGTTTAAAGACAAACACCCATCAAGCCTTTAGGCAAATGACAAACTGTCTTTAAATGTATTTCTGAGGACATAATCCTGAAGCCCTGTGGGAGTTACCAGAAATAGTATTTCTGGGTCTTTTCCTGTGACCCGTGTCAAGGCAAATCTCTTCCTGTTCAACCAGTTTGGTTATCCTATCTCAACAGTATATTACTTTAGCATTACTTGACTTGTTTCCAGAGACTCTGTGTTTGTATATGATGATTTATGCAGTACAGGATTTAAATGTTTTACTTTAATTTCCTTACCTCATTGCTGTGTGCTGAGATAATTTAAACTCATGATTCTGCATCCAGTATGTTAGCTCTCCTTCCTAGCCTAATGTCACCTTTTATTTTTAAGTCTGAACCTTGTTAATAAATACATTGATTGGGGTGAGGCCAAATCCAGAATCTTGTAGCAATAGGCCAATACCTTCTGGGTTTAGTTGTATACAAGTTATTCTTTGGTAGAATTGTACATGGTATAGCCCCCCACCTTTTCCACCTCACTCCACTGATCATGCCTTCATTATTACCTTTTCAGTGGCAGAAATCAACATATGCCATATCTGAATTTCTTTGAGCTATCTGTCAAATAATGCTTTCAAAAGAGGAAATGATATCAGCTTGGCTTGCCTTGTTTTTTTTGTTTGTTTGCTTGTTTTTTAAAGTTTCTTTTAAAAATTTTTATATAAATTGACACATAATTGTGCATACTTATGGGTACAGAGGTGATATTTTAATATGCTATACAATGTATAATGATCAAATAAGAATAATTAGCATATCTACCACCTAAGTATTTATTTCTCTGGAGTGAGAAAAAAAATTTTTTTGGCAGTACTGGGGTTCGAACGCAGAACTTTGTGCTTGCTAGGCAGATGCTCTACCACTTGAGCCACACCTCCAGCCCTAGAGTGAGAACATTTAAAATCCTTTCAGCTATTTTGAGATTTATTGAACTTGTGGATCATTGGTACTTGCCATTTTCTTAATCTCATGGGATATTTTATAGATAATTTTAGAATTCTGCTGTGGATTAATGCCATGTTTACTAGCCTGACACTCCCAAGGTCTATCTTATTTTTCTTTTTGAAAAGTCAAGGATATTTTTGTCTGCCTTCATTCTCTACCATTCTCTCTAATTCCTCAACGATTCCTGCTTGATCTGTAGTCATATAGGTAAATTGTGTTGGTGTCTTGAGATGTAATTTGATTAGGACGGAATACTGTAGTTCCTATAAAAAGAACCATTTGGGCGCTGGTGGAGTAGCTCAAGTGGTAGAGTGCCTGCCTAGCAAGAATAAGGCTCTGAGTTCAAACCTCAGTACCACACACACACACACACACACAAAAGAACCATTTGGGTGTCTCCTTGCCTGGCTTGAATTTCATTTCCCTGTTAGATCTTTTTGTCTTTCCGTTTTCAAATTCAAGGCCCTTTTTGACAAAACAGATCAAAATGAACTCTTGGGCATATTGCTTTCTTTCTGTTACTGCCTCAAATGATGGACATATATCATTTTCCTTTTTCTTTTTGTCTGAAAACTAAAAATTGGCTAAAACAGATAAATAATAAGGAAAGGGGAAAAAAAAGAGTGAAAAAGGCCTATGTTATATTTACTGGCATTTTCTCCAAGCTGTGGAAGTGTGTGACATGCATTTGTGTTTACCCTCCTTTATGTGCTCTTCCATTGGGTAGACTTGGCTAAAAATTGAAACCCAAAATGAACCTGAATTCATCAGGAACTCGGGTGCCAGATCATTTTGCTCCATTACTAGACCAGTCAGAATATAATTTTAGCACCACCTGATTTATTTTTGCCTCAACTTTTGGAAATTCAAGTGCATAGGGCATTCTCTTCCAGGAATCTTAAGAATTGTGAATAAATTCCTACAATCTCCCAAGATTCATGATGAAATAATGAGATATCAATATTCACTCAGCCAAGGCCATGGCCATGGTCATTGGCCACTTAGGCACTTTGCCTGGGTTTTGTGTTGTTATAACAGAATACCACAGACTAGGTTAAGTTATAAAGAAAAATAAGTTTACTTTTTAAATTTCTGGGGGCTAGGAAGTCCGAGGTCACATGGTTTACATCTGGTAACGGCCTCCTTAATGCCCTGTCCCAGGGTGGAAGAGGGAAGGGCAAGAGAGCACTTTCAAGAGATTAAACTTGTGGCCTCAAGCCTTTTTATAATGGCATTAGTGCATTCATGATTGTGTCGCCCTTTGTGACTTAAACACCTCCCATTAGACCCCATACCCAACATCGTTACACTGGGTTTTAAGTTTCTATCATATGCTTTCTGGAAGACACATTCAAACCATAGGCACTTTTCAACTGCTTGACATGTTTTTGAAATGAACACCTGCAAATCAAATGGATTCAACACGTGCGGCATTTACAAGGTACCGTCCACTGTGCTAGGGTAACCCAGAAGAAAACTAGCTGTGTCTTTTGAACACAAGATACTGATTTAGATTGAAGTGAAAATCATTCATATGTGAAGTACTGAATGGGCATCAACTATTCAAAACAGTAATGAATGGATTCCTCATTGCTGTGTCTAGGTGCACTGCTTCTACTTCTGCATTTTTCTCAGGCCATCTTCAGTGACAGAGTGCTCATCATCCCTTTAGCTAACGTCCTCCAACCCTCCAGCTAATAGCCTCCACTTGGAGGCCACTGCTCCACCCCATTACTTCAGGTCTTGCACATTTCCAGCTTATCTAGAGCCCTTGGATTTTGGCACTAACTCCCTTCCTCTGTACCTGTCATTAGACATCTTGGTGGCAGAGCAGGAGGCCATTGCAGGGAAGGTTCTCTGTATTATACACAGTGGATATCCACATGCAGGACACAGACTGAATGGCTCAGATAGAGAGCTTGCTATATAGACTTTGTGGACATGCTTAATTTGTATCTCCATTTCTGGCTTGCTCAGTAGTCTTGTTGAGAAAATCCTACCACCATCTCCCAGAAATACTAGGATCTGGAAAAGATGAGGGAAAGAGCTGGAATGTCAAGAAACACTGAAATAATTCAAACATGGCTACCTCCAATAAGAGAGCCAGAGAAAAACAGCATGCAAAGCTGCCCATTCTCACCAATACCTCCCCATCCTCCTTCCCAGCCACCTCACCTAACGCCCATCTCCCTTCAACCTCCCTCTTTCTCGCCACAGCGTTAAAAACCCCAGCCTATAAGAAAGGTGTGCTCTCTTCCCTCTCAGAGTGTTACTCTGACTGCCAAGTGCCCTTGTCAGGTCTTTTCTCCCTAATAAAGGCCTGCTGCTTGTAAAGGTTGCAAATTCTCTCTGTGTTTCTCTCCTTTTCCTTTTCTTAAGGACCACCTAGGGTCAGTATAGCAATGGTTTAGTCATTTAAGGTTGAAATTCTTTTCCTCAAAGTAATAATTTAAGTAGTGACCCTAATGATTATCTGAAAAGAGATTGTGTGTGTGTGTGTGTGTGTGTGCATGTGTGTGCAGTAACTTGTGGGATTTTTTGTCTCTATTTTATTTTAATATAAAGTGCCCCTCGCATGGGCTCACATATTCTCACGACATATCTGAGGCCTGTGTCTCTAGCTGGTGGTGCTGTTTGAGAGGTGGTGAAAACTTCAGGAGGTGGGGGCCAGTTGGAGGAAGTAGGTCACTGGGATGTGCCTTTGAAGGATATTTTGTCTCTGGCCCCTTCCTGTCTCTGCCTGCTTCCTGGGTGACATAAAGTAAGCAACTCGGCTCCTGCACAACCTCTGCCATGGTGTTCTGTCTCTCCACAGCCCAGAAACAACAGAGCTGGCAAGCATGGACTGAACCTCTGAAACCATGACCCAAAATAAATCTTTCTTCCTTTATGTTGTTTCTCTCAGGTCACAACAATGAAAAAGCCTATGAAAAAATAATTTTCAAGGCTGGCAGAGTGGTTCAAATGGTAAGAGTGCCAGCCTGGCAAACATGAGGCCCTGAGTTCAAAACCCAGTGCCACCAAAAAAAAAAAAAAAAGAGGGCTGGTGGAGTGGCTCAAGTGGTAGAGTACCTGCCTAACAATTGTGAGGCCTTGAGTTCAAACCCCAGTACTTCCAAAAAAGAAAAAAATTTTTCAAAAATCAACCAAACTGAGGCTAACCCCTTATGTACCTCAGTGGCTTTCAGCTAGAGGATCTCACTGTAGTCTTTTCAGACTGGAACATGTTTTCGAGAAGTTTACATAAAACCCTTATCATTCTTTCTTCAGACCCACCTTGCTTTTCTCCTGCTCCTCCTTCTTCTCTATTTCCCATTCAGTCAATCCAAAGCCTAATTTTGAAGTGAAATTTTATTCTCCCACAGGATGCTCCAGGCTTTGTGTGTGTAGGGCAAAACGTTGGTTTGTGTATCTAAACTGCCATGCCACTCCTGTCCTCACAGCTGGAAATTCAGGCAAGGCCCTGGAAGCTTGGAGAAGGCAGGTGAGGTGGGAGGTGGGGAGTGGCTTAGGAGTCCTGTGAGCAGATGTTCATTCAGCTTTTTCTGGGGGAAGATCAGGATGCCTAGCTCCATGCAACTGGCATATTTGTCACATTAATTACTTAAGTATAGAACTGAGCAATAACCCCCAAAGCATCGGATCTGCTTATTGGTGATTTTGCTTACTCTTAATTGACCAGTGGTTGCACTTGGTGATGTAGTAGTCCTTTCTGATCTGTGGAAGTTGCATTCTGAGACCCGAAGGGATGTGACTGTGGATGGTGCTGAGCCCAATTGCCATCAGCCAGAATGTGTTTCTCTTCATGTCTTGTGCCCTCAAATTTAATTTCTTTTCCATCCTAACTAAGCACTTAGCA